CAGCAGTCAAGACATCATGCTAAATGTCCGAAGACCTCTGTGGACGATAAATGCGAGGGAAAACGAATGGAATGCAAGAAGTGCTGGGATCTGCACATTAGGTGCGATACCGGGTCTTACAAAGGAATAAAAATTTTACTACATGACCCAATATCGTATATATCATACTCCGCTTGCGTGGGCGCAGTGGTCGGAGGCGCCCTGCAACACACACGTGGAAGCGTTCCTCGAGCCCATGGCACACCAAGCCCTTCATGCCGCCGGGGTCGGAAAATTAGTACCAGAGTTATCTGGGAGGATGAAAGCGCTGGCTTGTTACATCCGCAAGCCACTGCGAGTCATTGTAAAAGCCGAGTATACATTCAGTCACCTCCAACGATGCTTAATGACCTCGAATACACGGCGCAACCCTCAGGGATTGACCAACACCGAGAGCTTTTAACTTTATCCTACTTTGCAGATCCCACCACGCCCTACATTCGTTTTCTTTCCTCATAGCCACCACTTACGACTGTCTTAACTTTTTTCTTATGGCTTCGACTACTGCTAGGAGTTATTTTCGTATTCGTCATGAATGTTGTTGAATGATCGCCGATTCGATGCTCCACAGAATGCTGAGATAGCCGGGCTAGAACGTTCCACTTGAATTATAGGGAGTGAATCTGTATAGTACAAGCCTGGTCCCAATTTCCTAACCTCAGACGTATGAGATCATTGGTAGGCAACAAATCGAAGACAAAAAGCACCATGTCATGTACTACCACATCTCTAATTAGACAGTGGTCGCCACTGCTATGCACGAAGATTCTGTCGTCTGCCACCTATTTATTAATTTAAACAATTTGTGTACGCACGTCTTCCTCTTATGTAGAATAGATTGGCCTCAAAGATCATCTATTGCGCTGTCAGCAAAATGGAAGTTGGCAAACAGGTCTTCAAAAAGTAAATCATGGAAATTCGTCGTTTCTGTGCATTGCCTTCCAACGTCTTTCTTCATTCACTTTTTCCAGACTCTTCCAAAGAAAGCACAGAGGATTATATGTTATCCGTCGGTCAGGGTCTATTTTTAAGTCGTTGTCATCTGACACAGAAGACTATAATATTGAATTTTCGACCAGTAAAATTACTTAGTTGGATATTTGGATGGCCCGCCTTCATTAGTTGTGCGGGCTCCAACATAGTTTCCATTCAAAAGAGAATCGCCAGTTTAGCCATTGCGCTTCCCTGGAGTCCCGAGGACAACCTAGCCAAAGTCTATCTCAGATCGTCACCACCACAGGCAGTTGCAACCATTGTGGATCAGAGGGACATTTGCCCCGACTAGTTTGATACCAGAACGCTGGTGAATCCTTGTATTGCTTTATTCTTAACTGAGCTTCCTGATTGAAACGCCGTACACCTTCTCAGCTTGGGAGACCGTGCCAGTGGGTGTTGAATACTCCCGCTGCACATCGTAGCCCGACACCTAGGAACACCTGCCATCCACGAGGCAGTAAACCGTTGGGAGTAGTAAAAATAATCCAATGCAACAACGAAGGAGAATCTTCTGCAAAAGTCATAGAACTACGACTCTGGCTTTCACAATAATTTAAAAAGGCAAACATAAGAAATATTTACCAGCGATTTTATGATAATACTCACAAAATGGCGAGCGATGTCTATAAATACAAGAGATATAAGACTAATGACACTTGAGCATTTTTCTCATCACGAACGCTCGATTCGCGGTCACTCACGAGTTACATACGGCAATAATTCCAAGGATTACAAATGAAGCATCTCCTTCGAATTTGCTCTCACTCACGTACAAGGGTATTGACGTGAATACACGATATCGGAGGTGCCAATAGGATATTCACTGCCCTTCATTTTAACTTCATGAGAGGATATGACAAGCCTCCTCTAGTCAATTTCCGACTTCTAGAAGAGGTTTAGTATTTTTCATGGTGTTAAGAATTCTCAACACCCTTGGAATGTAACTTCCTGCAGTTTCCACGAAAAGTTCACTAATTCAATTTCAGCAGCACATTTATAGTTGTCTACGCTTCCAATAGAAACGGATATGATTGATGAGTTCAGATTGCACATATGTTTATCTAACCATACTTAAGTGCACCAAGATCCGTTTGCTATTCCTATGATCCGCAGTTTCTAGATGTAAAGTAAAACCTCGTAAAAGTAAAACCTAATTATCAACCTCGTGTAGGATCATCAAAGAAAGAATACATATTGATTAGTCACACCGAGGTTTAGGGAAGGTCGGTTTCGAAATATTACTACGCTTTGTGCTAGCTGATAATACACCGACCTCTGCACGATGTGCGCAATGATGTATGTCCGGAAGAAATACAAGTTGTTACCACCGGACATTGTCATTATATATCCACCATCAGCATCGTGTATAAAAGGGCATCACTGAGTGAGGATGCCTCATTCGAGAAGATGGCTCACTGAGGAAGATCTGGCTCGACAGGAAGGCGAAGACGCAACGTCGAGGCGAACAACAGGCATGGACCATCGACTCGGATCACCGGCTCTGAGGAAGACGAAGACGTCGAAACGTTAGCCGAAAATAAATATATTTATCAACCTCGTGCAAGCTTACCAAGAAAGAATACATAAAGAAAGAATACATATATTTTAAAGTAAAAGTTAGAAGATCTTCGTCGCTGATGGGTGCGAGGAAACGAACCGAATGTCGGAAGAGCTGGTATCCACACAGTAGACTTGAAGACGGGTCGTATGAAATGCAAAAAAAAATTTCCAAATGGAATACATTTGCCATTCGGGTTGCCGATATGAGCGAAGGGTTCCAAATTCACTGATACCAAGCAAGGATTCAAGAAGCATTTAAAACAAACATTGTAATATAAATGTTGTTTATCGTTGTCATTATTAAATTACTAGCTAACATCGACAACATTGAACGCATTAAACGATTCGTTTGAAAAGAAACGAGGTAAATTGCAAACCATCAAGCCTGAAAACAATACGATAATCGAACGAAAACATTAGTTCTCGTAAATATCACAAACAAAGAGATTCACTAGTTTCTTCAAAACAGAACATCAGTCTTCAAGCTTTAACTTCAAGCGCTTATGGGACAATGATAACCTTTAATTTACTGCCTATTACCACTTTTCACGCCAGGATATTATGTGTGATACAACCACAATGATGCTGAGATATTTGTTCTGTATGTCGATGTCACTGAGAACTAGCTGAGAGGCAAGCGAAACGAAGGACCCGCACGGTGTGGTGATGAACGCATTAGCCCTCGGAGAAGGTAATAGCGCGTTCGTTCCCAACCGCAGAAACCTGCGGTTCGGAGCTTTGCAAATATCTCAGTATCATTGCGATTGTATCACTCACAGGATAGCTTTTCTTAACGTTTTTTAATCGAAAAAGAATGACTGTAATCCACACTTCTTTCTTTGTCAATAGAACATAAGTTATCAGGTCGAGGCAAATTTCAAGCACTCAAGTGCTCAAAAATCAGTGATAAGCATTTTATTCTCGGCTTAATCTTTAAAGGCTTTCTCAGCAAACAACTCCCGAAGTGGTTGAAAGCGTTCTATGCAAGAGGTAGACTGGGGGTTTCTCGATGAGAGAGTTTTGTACAGCTCTTTCATCATTTCCCTGTTGACTTATAATATGTTCTCAGATGTTTCGTGTTAACTCTTTTCATCTGATCAACATGAACTTTCTTATTTCTATTTTTTTGCGCTACCACTGTTCCACTCAGAATTGAATAAGGTAGAATTAATAGAAGAAAGAGCTTTCTCAAATCATGAAGGATGGACGGAGCATTTGACTTCAAGCATCGTTAGAGGTGATTGAATGCATATCTGGCCTATACAATAAGTTGCGGTGGCCTACCTATGTGTCAAATCAGTGCGGCAATCTTTCCAGAGAACTCTGGTCCTAATTTGCTAACCATGGAAAAATGGGATGCTTTATGAGTCAGGAGCGGAAAGTCGAACCGCGGATCATGTGCGCATTGAAGGGCAACTATGACCACTGTGCTACACGCACCCTGAGGACAACAGTGCTCTCTGAAGTTCAAGAAGAAGGAGAAGAAGGTAGTGGATAACCTCATTTGATGCACACCATGAAGTTGCAACTTGTCTCTGATGTAGATTTGCTTTCGAAGATTTTCTCAGTGTGAAATATAACTTCAATGATGCCGAGATAATTGCAAAACTCCGGAACGTAGGTGTATGCGGTGGAAAACGAACGCGCTATTGTCCTTTCCGGGGAGTAGCGCGTTCACCACCACACCACGCGCGTCCTTCGTTTCGCCTGCCTCTCAGCTAGTTCTATCGATCTTTTGCCATCAGCAATCACCCGTCAGCGGAATTGATCTGGGGGGCCCAAATCGACAACGAACCCAGTTAAGCTGAGGCCGCAGTTATAATCACAATCGCAATCACGACATAACTAGCTGAGAGACAGGCGAAACGAAGGACCCGCGTGGTGTGGTGGTGAACGCGCTACTCCCCGGAAAGGACAATAGCGCGTTCGTTCCCCACCGCATACACCTGCGGTCCGGAGTTTTGCAAATATCTCAGCATCATTGAAGTTATATTCCGCAATGTATATCCTGCCGTTAAAAAAGAGTAGGCAGTAAATAATAAGTTAAGATTTTCTCAGTGTTTCAACTTCTGCCCAACCATCACAGAGAACTCAATTAGCTTTTACTGCTTGAAGAATTTAGCGGGCAAATGACATCGCTGACACAATTTAGTTGGTTACCCGGTTCTACTTCCAAACCCTTTCTTTTTCATTTTCATTTCGTTGGCCTTATCTAAACGCAAAATAATATGAAAGGAAAATATCTAGCACAAAAGTGTGATAAAGTCAGGGCTCTAAGGTGATGTATAATGTAAATAGAGTTGTGAAATATCAAAGCTCCGAAAGGCAAAATAAGAACTATTTTCGAGTAAACTACAACTACACGATCAACGAAGGGAGAAATTTGACCTGCTCACCTTAGTTATTCACCTTGGAGGTGCGGTCACGAAGGGTCTACTTGGGTTTAAGGCTTTTTGTCCTGCTGCAGGTGCTTTCTTTGCTACATTTCCTGGTGGTGGCGGAGGTGGGGGCTCTCCTGCATTGGCTTCAGGAATCACATCCTCATACTGATTTTCCAGAACAGGGGCTGCTGCTGGAGCAGGACCCGCTTTCGGAGGCGGACGAGGTTCTGGTGGAGGTGCTCTTGCGTTGGCTTCAGGAATCACATCCTCATACTGATTTTCCAGAACAGGGGCTGCTGCTGGAGCACGACCGCCTTTCGGAGGCGGAGGATATTCTGCTGGAGGCGCTTTTGCACTGACTTCAGGAATCACATCTTCATACTGATTTTCAGGAACAGGAGCTGCTGCTGGAGCAGGACCCGCTTTCGGAAGCGGACGAGGTTCTGGTGGAGGCGCTCTTGCGTTGGCTTCAGGAATCACATCTTCATACTGATTTTCGAGAACTAGAGCTGCCTTTGGAGCAGGAGCCGCTTTCGGAGGTGGAAAAGCATCTTTGTCTTTAACATTAACTGCACCCAAATCTAGATAGTTTGGCTCTCTTGTAGGAGCAGGAGCACACTTAACAGACTGTTTCAATGGCGGAGGAGGTTGTTTTGTCGGTTTTGAGGCAGCGGAAGGAGGGGGAGGAGGTGTTTTTCGTTGAGCGTTGAGTCCATCTAAAACTAAGTAGTTTGCATCCATCGTAGGTACTGGAGCAAGTTTAGCAGGTCCTTTTGATGACAGGGGTTGCAAAAGAGCAGGCGGTGGTCCAGGTGGCCTTGCTGGTTGATTGGGTGCTTTAACTGGAAGAGGCTGCGCAGGTGGACGTGGTATCACCGGTAACTTAGGTGTTTTAGCTAGAGCAGGTTTTGCAGGTGGACGTAATGTTGCCGGTGGTTTAAGTGTTTTAGCAATGGGAAGCTGCGCAGGACATGGTGTTACCGGTACCGTAGGTGTTTGAGCGGGAGGAGGCTGTGCCGGAGGTGGTTGCAATGGCGGCTGAAAAAAGTGTAGTCTTGGGATCTTCATTTAAATGGGAGAATATCTTAGCAAACATTGGAAGAATTCCTCAACAACGAACATACAGACGCTGTTGTTCAGTGGGACTTAATATATTCATTAGCATACGAGGCATTATAGGCAAAATTTTAGTTATTAATATTCTTCGTTGGGCGCATGTGGAGCAGTGGTCGGAGGAACACTGCAACACACACGTGGAATCGATCCCCGCTCCCAGGCTCACTAAGCCTTCCATCCCTCCGGGGTCGGCAAATTGGTACCAGACTTGTCTGGGAGGATAGCAGCACTGGCTCGATACATCGGAAGGCCACCGCGAATCATTATAAAGGGCCTATATGCATTCAATCACCTCCAGATGATGCTTATTGGAACTTTTTATCAAATAGTTCCCATTTCCTATATTAGAGTATGTTTCTTGTTCATCTGTAACTATTTTAAACCTATCTTCGCATCTTCTCTAAATTGCCTCCTAGCCGCTATCTCATGCAATTGCCTCGCAGGTGGCTGGAAAGGAGTTCTATAACTCCTTTCAATAAACTGCTCTTCTTTGCCCGACAGTTTGATCACTGAATCAACAGCAGTCAGCTGAATATACTTTGTAGCATCTGCTGTCCCAAAAAAGTTTCCGAACGAGCAGTTGCGCTCTTTCACGTGTAGCTCCATCAGATTGTGCTAATAGAAAAAACCTCTAGGCACTGTCTTTAGTTCGCTCCGGCAAAGCACCACCCACTACAGAAGTAATACAGATAGCCCATGGCCATTCGTCTTCAAGTGTTGACAATATTCGTCCAGTGTCAATTCAGTTCGTTCATATCGCCTAACTCGTCCATATACTTCGCTCTATTGTTATTGTTGTCATTGCTACTATTATCATAGAAGCTGTAACCCAGCGTTCGACTCAGCGACTTACACACAAAAGACCCGCGTGGCAGCTACAAGGAATAACATTCATAACAACTTGGTATTCATATAAAGTTGGGAGCTCACTGCCGCAACAATGCTGAATTAAGCCGAATGAATGGCGCATCCGTCAGAGATTGATAAACGCCAAGAGCTTTATCCTTTATCCTTTAATATTCTTCGTTTACAACATATTTGCAAAAAGAGTAAAGTCGTTCATTGTGGAAGTCAAGATCGACTCGACTTAGTTTTTCGAATAGCAGCAATAAGCAACCTCGATAAAAAACACTTTATTGAAGGAGAAGTCTTAAGGAGTATGGAAATAATGAAGAAAGGAATGAAACGTTCAGCGTTGACCAATTCTTGTGCACTCGACTTCATTAATCATTGTTGAAGTGGTTAAATGTTTAAATGGCTTAAACGATGATTTGCGGAGGTCTGCCAATGCATCAAATCAGTGCTGCTATCTTCCAGAGAACTTTGGCACCAATTTACCCACCACAGAGGGATAGAAGCTTTAGTATGCATTAATATGCCCGAAAGAACCAAAAACTACGTGTGTACTACGAAACATCTCTAGCCACTACGCTAAAAGTGCCACAAAAGCAAAACGGCTATAAAAGTGCAACGAGCAAATAGATGTGTACAAACCATTTGCGTATTTTTTGGTTCTCCAGGAAGTGCAGTTGGTTCCACGGGAGCGGCCGCAGTGGCAGCATTCTGGGGCTGAGGGGCTGGATTCACTTGAGGAGCAGCGGGCGACTGAAATCGTGAGTGACACATTTAAAATGTTGCTGGGTTTTCAATAACTAATAGTAATTCCTCAATTCCTCCATAACGAGGCTACTTCGCAGCCTCATGGGTCCATACAGTGTTGAAGACGCACCGGACTATTGTTCTAAATTGGAGTATGTTTTCCCAAAACACTACTTTCGCTTTGTATTTGCATAACATTCGAATCTCTAGAAATCCAAACAAGAATTCGATTTTTTTTACAATATTTAGCATCAATGCAGCTACCGTTAACATTAGCGACGACGTCTTAATGGCAGAAACCTCTCTTGGTCTTCGGCTCTTCTGTTCAAAATACAAACTTCGGAAAAAATGAGACAGCTTTGAGATCGAATCACAATATAGCTGATATATTTGCAAAACTGCAAGACCACTGGTGTCCACGGTAGGGACCGAACACGCTATTACCCTCTCCGGAGGCTAACGCGTTCACCACCACACCATGCTGTCCCTCGTTTCGTCTGCCTCTCAGCCATCCTATTGGCCTATTGCAGCCATCAACAATCAACCGTCAACGGGATTGATCTGCGGAGCACAAATCGGCATGAACCCAGTAATGCTAGAGCTATGGTATAAATCACAATGTCGTCAATTTTTATTTACTGCTTATTTTTAATGACAGGGTATTATGTGAAATATAACCACAACCCGTTAGCTGCCGGAAAGAGTAATGGCGTATTCGGTCCCCACCGTAGACACCAGAGGTCCGGAGTTTTGCAAATATTTCAGCAGCATTGTGCCAGCATTGTGTTTATATCTCAAATAATACCCTGCCATTAAAAATTGGTAGGCACTAAATAAAAATTGACGACAGTTTTGAGATTTTCACAGAATCAGAATTCATCCCTGCTGCAAAAGAAAACTTCTGTGTGTCTCTGATTTTAATGCTATCGTCCTCGTTTAATAAAGTACATGTTTGAGCAAAGATATATCAGTGCAGCGATATAAATATAATAATTAATTTCTATAATGCTGAGATATTTGCAAAACTCTGGACCGCAGGTGTCTATGGTGGGGAACGA